CGCCAGACAGACAGAGAGAGACATAGAGACAGAAAGCGAGAAATCACCCCCCAGGGGGGATGGTCACGCCGCAATCCCTTCTCCTCCATTCTCCTCTCGGGATCTTGGGCACGCACGCACGCACGCACACGCGCCCGGCGTGAGTTTTAAGCCACCGGGTCCGGGACACGAACCGCGGTCGACTACGTGGGAATCCAGCGACATAGCCATTACGCTAACTGCTGGTTCCCTCCCAGAGTATTTCTCAAGGCACCTGGTCCAGAACTTGAGCGATGCAGTCAGCCAGGTGGGAGCCAGTGCTTTAAACACCATGTTGCCTAGTGGCCACATGAGAGCAAACCAGAGATACAGCACCCCCAAAAGCGTGTTGATGCCACGATGTTTCCCAGCACCCTGGGTCATGAGCACACACTTGCCCCGGGTACTCAGAGATGTCTCCAGCTGTGAGCAACAACTGCCCACGGGAGGGGCTGCCTCACAGAGCATCACATCCTGCCATCACACCACCTTCCAGCCCCTCGGGTTCTTTCTCTGAATTGTTCTCTCAATACTATTTATAAACATGTTTGTATTTTCTATTTCTGTTTACGGCAGTGGCACACTATTCATATATATGGATATCACCAAACATCTATGATTGGATACTAGCTTATTTTCAGGATTTTGATGCTATTCGCGGTCTGATTCATATTCCCGTCCTCCCGAGATCACTTTTCCCATGGATGGGCCAGTGACTCTGAGCATAGAGGTTGAAGTGAGCTCGCTCTGAGTTATCCACAAGTGTTTCCTTTACCAATGATATTCACTCCTATTGCTTTATAGAAACGCTGACAGACATATGTGACAAACCGGTAAGCCAGCGTCTGTGTCCAGTGGCAGAAGAGCTCGCTTCGCTAGGTCTTCTCTGATCATTAGAGACAGGAAACAGACGTGCCAGTGGGTGCCGTGCACGCACATTTTGCTCTGCTTATACCATTTGCACAAGTCTTTAATATCTGTCATTTGCAATGGCAAAAACAGATGGTACACATTTCTCCTGTAGCAGTGCCCCGCAGTATCAAATCTTACACCATCTTTTAGAATTTTATGGTGTGATTTGTCAAGCCATCAGATCTGGGACTCAAACTGGCCATGTGGGAATCCAGCACCTTAACCTCCACACCATCTGCTGCCCCCCAGAAAAATACCGTTAAATAATTATTTAGACATGAATAGTGAATCTGGATGGATATTGGTATAAAATTGAATTCTGAGAATGTGGTTAACTTCAGCAACCAGTGGTGTTATCTTAAACTTCTATATCAGATAATATTTTTTTGTACATTATCTTCTTTCTAGGCTACTAAATGCCAAAAGTTTCAAGCTTTTGACTGGGGAAGCAGTGCCAAGAATTATTTTCATTACAACCAGGTAAAGTTTGCAGTCCTCCAGTTACAATGGGTCCTGAACACCCATCAGGGAAGATGGCCGGTCTCACTGGGACTCTGGTTGGACTCAGGTGCTGTGGGCTGTGTTGGGGAGAGTTGGCCGGATAGCGTTTGATTTCCCTCAGTCCATTAAGAACAGCCTAAGCTTTTCAGTGGGTGTTGTGGGCTGGATCACCTCCTGTTCGCCTCTCCCTGGCTCTGTGTAAGAATTGTCATTGTCGTGCATTATCAACGGCACAGACTGGACAGTCAGGCAATCCCAGGTTTGCTCCCTTCAGCTGTGAGCCCTGGCCAAATGACTTCGCTTAGGCCTCTTCTTCTTTGAACAAACAAAGTGACCATTTACTGAACACCTGGTGCATTCCAGTATGAGACACTTGGTGGTTGTCAGATTTCTTTCTTACCACATCCCTGTGACTTGGATGTGATGATTTCTGAGTTAAAGATGAAGCAACTGAAGCTTGTAGAATTTCTGTGCCTTGTCTTAAGCCCAAAGGGAGAAGGAGGGAGGTTGTGACTCTGAAGCTCCTTCGGAACCCCGAGGTCACGTGACTTTGCATCTACCCCCGGAAGTAGCTCTGTAGCTAGCAGTGAGGGTAGTTAGTATCTTTAATTGTAAGTTAGATTTCTTTTTGTTCTGGTAATGATAACTTGAAAGTAAATAGAAGTTCTCAAAATGTAGTCTCTTATTCTGAGATCAACCTTACTAGATGGTGTTTAATGGAGATTATGTTGATTGTGATTTTGAAAATTAGAACAGTGGCCAAGCTCCTGTGGCTCTTTTTGTTGTTGTAGAGTTACCCTCCCATGTACCACGTGAAAGACATGCTGGTGCCGACCGCTGTCTGGAGTGGGGGTCAGGACTGGCTCGCAGACGACAAGGACATCAATGTCTTACTGACTCAGATCACCAACTTGGTTTACCACAAGCGCATTCCTGAGTGGGAACATCTGGACTTTATCTGGGGCATGGACGCCCCCTGGCGGCTGTATAAGGAAATTATTAACCTAATGAAGAAGCTCCAGTGAAAGCCATTGTTGAGAAATGTACCCTCGAGTTAGTGATTTAAGACATGTGAAAATGTGTTTGCTTAATTCCTGTAAAACACTTGTCTTCCCTTTATTTTTTGTGTTTTTGTATTCAAGAAAATTATGACTTTGAAGATACTTAACTCTCTCTAATTAGGATTAGAAACACACTGTCTCTTAGAAATATCACTGATGTGTAGTGTAAGCAGGTAGTTATAACATTCTGTTTATCTTTGCAATTTACAAGTACCATGTTGCCTTCTCACACCTACGCAGGACAAAGGAACAGGAGTTGGAATGTCTCAGTGGTGTTCGTTGGTAAATAATCTGCCACTGACTTGAACTCAGTATAAAAGTACCCATTTCTCATCTCCTTGCCTTAAATGGTTCTAGTCTCATGGTCTTAAATTTAGGGACCTGACACTTGCTCATGTTTACAGGCAGTGGGTGTGTGGTCAAATCCAGTGGTTTCGCTGGTGTGACAGAAAGATTCCATAATGGATTTCAGTCCACCTACCTGTGATAATGGTTATGTAGCAAACATGCGAATTGCTCAGACCAAGCAAAAGAATTTGCTAGAGTCTTCAAAAACAAATTGCACAGATTAAAAAATAAATAAATACAAACCCAAACTATGTTTTAAATAGCTTGAAGAGTGAAACCCCCCAACTGTGTATATTCATGAGCTCTCAATTGTGTGGCAGGCCCGAGTTCTGTTCATTAGAGGAAAAAAAGGGCTGTGGAGAGACTATACCACTGTTTTTCTGGAAATTACTGTATTTTCTGAACCAGCTGCTGTAGCTCAGTGATGACCTCTGTATGAAGCCAAAGCCCTGTAGTTGCCCCTGAGTGTCGTTTTCACTAAAATAAAGTAGGAGCGTGAATGTTTTCATATTAAAGTTCAGCTCAGGGATTTATTTTGTTTTGTCGTTTGATATGTCCATATTTTTGATACACCTACTTTGCGTCCCTATGGCAGGAGCCTGTATTCATCTGCTTTTCTCATTTCACTATAATACTAGACAAAATGGTAATTGATATGTTTTTCTAATATAGGTTCCTCCGGTAGCAGTACTTAACTGACTAATATATGAAGCCGAATATTACTAATGATACTTTTTGACATTTAAAGGATCTTATTTAAACTTTTCAATAAAACTCGGTGAGCCTTATAGGCCTGAGGTATTGCTTGTGTGTGCCTTTTCATTTATTTATTTCAATTCCAGAGGGCACGTGTGCTTGCCAGAGGCTTTAAAAACATGCTGGGGAGCGTGTGCATGCCCAAAGGCTCAACAGGATGGAGAGCTGGCAGAAAAGGGATTGTACATGACCATGCCCCACGGAGCGGGGTTTCTCCACCTCTCCCTCCGTGTTTCTCTGTCTCCATGGTCATGGAGAATCCAGTGGCCTCGCTCTCTAGGCTACGGGCCTGGCTTCTTTTTTCCTTTATCTAATAACCTGTCACTCTCTTTCTCTTTGGGCAGACCTTTTGCTCTCCTCTGTCTCTTCATATACCTCACTGATACTGTTTGTTCCTCTGCCGGGAGGTGAGAGCAGTCCAGAGCCCAGGGCGAGCCGGTGGATGGTGCTTGAATGTTATCCTTGAGCATGGGCCGTGGCATGGGCTGTGCGTGGAGGCCACCTGGTGGTGATTTTCCCCCTCTGCAGCAGGACCATGGCTTCAAGGATTGTCCATCCTATTGCCACCTTGAAAGAGCTGAAGCTGGCAGGAGCAGATTATGCCACTGGGCCCCTAAGACATAGATGTGAGACCCAGTGTAATCTCTCCTATTCTGTGAGCTGGAGGGCAGAAGATATGCTTGGAGTCTTCACAAAGTTTATGGAAAAATGGAATTAAAGTCTGAGTTTATTTTGGTGCAAAAATGTGAAATCTAGAGAGAGGTTTTTCATGAACTTTTTGGATACCTTTTGTATCTTACTCATCTCTGCAAGACCAGAATTGAACAGTCTGCAGTTCAGTTCACCCACACATGCGGACTGACAAAGCTGTGCAAAGTGATGGGACTTCTTCATTGCGTCAAAATAAAATGTACAAGAAACATCTGGGAGGGTCTAAGGACTGACTTGAGTCAGTGTGACTTCATGGCACCCATGGAAGACAGCGTACTTACTAGATGCCAGTGTGTACTCCTGTCCTTGTTGGCCACCTGTCCCCAAAGAACCTGGGTGGGCTGAAAGGGAAGGGCCGGTGAGTAGATGCCTCCTTTGTGAGTAGATGCCACTGATGGTGTGGGGAGCTTGCCAGAGAATGGCTGCCAGCTGTTTCGGGTATCCTTAGCTCTGCTGCTGCTCTGAGGGGCTCCCAGAAATGCTCTTGAGAGCCTGTGGGCAGTTGAGTTTCCTCGCCCCAGGCCACAGACAGGAAGGAGCTGGGATGTTTTCCAGCATCCACCTCTCACCTGCCCCGGTTTCTAAGCGCCTTCTGTGTGCAAACTTTTCTTCAGAGGCCTTTGCTAAGGAGGAGGGACGGGCCAGTCTATGGTGGAGAACTCGCTCAGCGGGTGCTGCTGCCCTTGCTTACATGGCTCTTTTGCCTTGGTTGGTGGCCTCTTGCCCCTGACGGAGCTGCATAAGCTCTTGGCGGCCTCATATTCTAGGCTGTGTCCACATAGTTTGGTTCCGTCCTGGGCTGAGAGTTGGATGTTTGCTCGAAGAAATCCTGTGACAATTCGTCAGGGACTCTGGCTCCGTTCTTTTGTAACTGGAGCAGAATACGAAGACCTTCTTAGACCTCGAGGGCTGAGGGGAAACCAGTTGATATCCTGCCCCCTTGAGACGTCTCCAAGATGTGTGTTTACCTGGGGAAAGGAAGAGGGGCCAAAGAAGTCACGATGTGGAATAAGGAAAAAGAAACATCTTTTTTTTTTTTTTTGCATTTGCCACTTGAGGGCACTCTTGGGCTTGCTCGTGAAGCTTCCCCACCTCTGCCCTCCTACCTACTTCTCCTTTTATAAAAAGGCTTTTGTAGGTGCCTCTAGGAAAGGTGGGAAACTTGGTTGTTTTGAGAAGCTTTAACCTGAGCCTCACAGGTAATGAAGATCGGATTGTAGACTAAGGACATCATCTCCAAATGACAAAGATGAGTTTGTGTTCGTGGTATCGTGGGCATTATTTGTTAGCTATAAACATTAAAAATGTACTGTGTTTTGACCTCTTGCTATTTAATTTTTAACAGATGGAGATATTTTCACAACAGAAGTCCCCCTAATCTCTTGTGATGCCTGAAAACCAATGCCAAGTAGTGCTATAATTATTCAGATGAAAAGAAATCATCGGTCATTCATTTGAGAGTATGTATTGTTATTCTCTATGTTCAGATTTCAAGTTCAATTCCAAAGTAAGCAATTTCTGCCAAATTGACTCAGGGTGTTTGTTTTGTTTTGTTTTAGAGAGATTTTTGCTATAGGGCGCATGTGCTCAATGGAGAGACTGAGAGACAGAAAGTGAGAAATCACCCCCGGGGGGATGGCCACACTGCAATCCCTTCTCCATTCTCCTCGTTCTGGGATTTGGACTACGTGGGAGTCCAGGGACGTAGCCATTATGCCACCTGCTGACCCCTGTCTTAGAGTTATTAAAAGTATTTTGCATTTTATCTTGTACCTATCAGGTGTTTAAAGACTTCACACGGGGCTTTGATCTCGGCAGCAAACCCTTTGACCCATGAGGCATGAGCTGAGTTGTTTCCTCTGCTTTACAGGTACTGATATACCCTTTTCCCTCTCTTTTTGCTAGAGGAAGCCTGTGTTCTGGGGCAGGGGAGAAAGTGAAAAAGCATGCCCCAGGGGGAATGGCTCTGCAAAATCCCCCTCTCCTCCATTCTCCCCTAGGGATTTGGAGCACGCCCACACATGTGTCTGGTGTATTTTTCAAGCTACTGGGTCCTCTGTCAGCCATCAGGGATCCAGCCACCTCAGCCACCACCACTGGTTGTCCCAACACTGGTATACTTTTCAACGGGGATAATTTTATATGCTTTAAATGTTTTCGAGAGGTTGAGGAGAGTTCTGATACTATCACTAGAAGCATCCACTTACACAGGACATGGATGGGTCAAAATATACAGTGTTTAAAGCCACATACACATCAGGGTCTGGGTTAGTAAGAGCACAAAGAGAGTATCCGGGAGAGCCAACATCCCATAGTTCTCATCACCCTCTCCTGCTCTCCGACATTTTTTTTTTAATTGCTAGAGGGCACGTGTGCTTATGGGAGAGAAATAGAGAGAGAAATGGGACATGGTCACACTGCAATCACTTCTCCATTTCATCACCCTGTTCCGATTCAGGGCATGCACCTTTAAGAACCTGGACCATTTTTCAAGCTGTGGGGAGGGGACTGGAACCATGATTGGCCATGGAGGATGCGGCTCCTGTAACCACTGGACTATAGCTGGCACATCCATGGTTAATGATTACTTCTGAGTCTTTTTTTTTTTTTAAACCATAGGGCATATACGCTCACGAGAGAGAGAGAAAGAGAGAGAGAGAGAGAAACAGAGAGAGAGAGAAACAGAGAGAAAAAGTGAGAAATCCACCTCCCCTCCCCCGAGGGGGGATGGCTATGCCATAGATCCTTCTCCTTCATTCTCCTCTTAAGATTCCAGCACACACACACACACACACACACACACGTGCTTGATGTGATTTTTCAAACTGTCGGGTCTGGGATTTGAACTACCATGTAGGAGTTCAGTGCTTTAACCACCATGCCCTCTGAGTCTTTTATTTTTATTTTCTTTTGGAGAGGTTTTTGCTAAAGGGCACGTGCACTCGCCAGACAGAGACAGAGAGACAGAAAGCGAGAAATCACCCCCCAGGGGGTTGGCCATGCCGCAATCCCTTTTCCTCCATTCTCCTCTCGGGATCTTGGGCACGCACCTGAAGCTGAAAACAAGGATTGAGAACTTGCAACTGTAAGCAACAGAGAGAATCTTTAGCTGTCTTAAACTAGTTGAGAAATATATAGAAGGACTTCCTCTGCCTATGGACAGTGAGAAGATGATGGTTACCAGCCCTGCATTGCCGCAGAGAAGAACAGGAATTACTCTGCCATTTTTGAGGAAGCCAGATACCGGAGAATTCCTCGGCCTATGGACAGTGAGAAGATGATGGTTACCAGCCCTGCATTGCCGCAGAGAAGAACAGGAATTACTCTGCCATTTTTGAGGAAGCCAGATACCGGAGAATTCCTCGGCCTATGGACAGTGAGAAGATGATGGTTACCAGCCCTGCATTGCCGCAGAGAAGAACAGGAATTACTCTGCCATTTTTGAGGAAGCCAGATACCGGAGAATTCCTCGGCCTATGGACAGTGAGAAGATGATGGTTACCAGCCCTGCATTGCCGCAGAGAAGAACAGGAATTACTCTGCCATTTTTGAGGAAGCCAGATACCGGAGAATTCCTCGGCCTATGGACAGTGAGAAGATGATGGTTACCAGCCCTGCATTGCCGCAGAGAAGAACAGGAATTACTCTGCCATTTTTGAGGAAGCCAGATACCGGAGAATTCCTCGGCCTATGGACAGTGAGAAGATGATGGTTGTCAGCCCTGCATTGCCGCAGAGAAGAACAGGAACTACTCTGCCATTTTTGAGGAAGCCAGATGCCCGAGGATAGCTCACGCTGTAGACCCCCACGGCACCATTCCTACAATGGCGGATCCGCAAGAGACCCACCCTTGATCCAACATTGAATGGAATCTATGATCCCTATTGTTGAAAACTTTAAACTTGTGGCCCTTCTCCCTT